ACTCTCTCTCTCTCTCTCTCTCTCTCTCTCTCTCTCTCCCTCCCTACCTCCCTCCCTCCCTCCCTCCCCCCTCCTTTCTCTCCCCAATAGTCTCATCGCACATGCACTACAGTAGAATGCACCCTGATCCTGCAGTAGACTAGTGACGTTTTAGAGATGAACCAGTGTATTTTTAGTCTATAAATCTCCGCAATTGACATAAAGTCCACAATTCTTCAGCTTCACGGTGATATAGATACATTATCAATGTTTGAAAATAAAGACTGAAATGGTGGCTTAGTAATGTACATTTTCATCAGTTTCAAATCTTTGTAATTCTCAACCTTGTTTTATTCTCGAATACAAAGATGCTGTTTAATAATTCACCACGCCCGAGCTATATTTTATTGTAACCGTGTCTTCACTTTGCTTCTAGTCAATAGTTTATGTAATCATCAACTTGTCTGCTGTCGCTGTATTCATTAACAACCCAGTTCAGAGTTTTTGCGAGATGTTTCTGTTCTTTCTGGTCCTCACTGTTAATTAAACAATGCTTATGCCCTTGCCCTGTCACCCGAGACTGCCTCGAGCCACATTTCATATTAATTATGTATTTTTTCAACCGTTGTTGAATCTTTCTTATATTTGCTATTATGTTTTTTGCTTTATCTCTGGCCCAATTTCATGTTTACTGTGTAGATTTCTCGTGTAGATGAATCTATTTTTTTATTTTCTGTTATGTTTTTTTAAAAAAATAGTTTTGTTTGTCGCTTGCTTTGATTGTTATCTTATCATTGCTTCTGTTGTTGCTGCTGCATTCTCTGTCTATTGTTTAGTGGGGTGTATGGTTGTCCAGGCGCTGTTTATGTTTTGCTAGTATCATTTTATGCGGTATTGGTAGAACAAGTTGTGTTACCCCTTTCATGTTATTTAGCTTTGCCTTTTAGCTGTTGCAGCTTTTTTTTCTTTTCTCATTTGTCAACATTGTACATACCCTCTTGGCAGTCACGTACATTATCGTGTGTGTGTGTGTGTGTGTGTGTGTGTGTGTGT